GAGGATCTTTTTTTTTTTTTTTTCACTTTTTTTCCAAGACTCCTCCGTTGAACGAAAGTTGATTAAAATTGCGTGATATGTGTATATATATATATATATGTATAGCAGGTGTCGTGAATGGAAAGGCGCGCAAAGATGCGGCTGTCGAGGAAATAATAAAGCTTCTCCATTTTGCAGAGCGATGCAATTCCTCCGCACGCCTCTCTTCTCCTTCCCTCCCTTCTCTTCGCGAGGCACGCGTTCTCGCGTTTCACACGTGCTTGAGCAAACACAGAGGCGCGGGGAATTAGATGAACCATCCGTGTTATCCGATCGGCGTCTTCCTTCCCGAAAAAATAGCGAAAAGTTTCATCGCGGAACCTGAGGAAGAGGAAAGTTTTCCCGGGAAAGTTTCTCGCCGCCATCCCTCCCCTTATCCGTCCTATCTCGAGTTTTCTTCTTTCTCCCTTCTCAAGAATCCTCGCGAGCGAGTGAATCGTGCGAGTATTCTTAAAGCGGATGGACACCAAAAAAAGGAACGAGAGATAATTCTTCAAGAAGATATATCGTTCGTTGGAGAAAGAAAAAATATTATAAAACACGTTTCCATTCGTTTGCCACGCTCTTGCCGATTGTTGAAAAAACGTTACGCCTTCGTATCTGGATTCCACGTTCCTATCCGGACCACGCCTTTTAACTCGATTCGCGACAAAAGACACGACGTTCACGGATGAAGGGAGAGAGAGAGAAAGAGAAAGAGGCCCTTTTAACGATTTTCTCCGAATGTCCGTGTTCCACGACTCCGTACTGAATCTTTAATTTCCCGGATATCGATCGGCCCCGCGTGTCCGTCTTCCGCGTGATTTCCAAGCGTTCCCGCCGCTTGGTGACGTTTTAATCGCGCCTCGCCGATACTCCATCGCGCTGTCGAGCGAAATTAAGGGGGTCCTGCCATCCGACAGACATCCGGACACCGCGAACGCGAGACGTGGATACGGTTTATGAGCGTGGCGATTTTAATTAAGTCGCTTAAACGGTGAGAGCGTACCGTCTCGTCTCCGTTTCCGCCTCTCTCTCTCTCTTTCTATGTGTGTGTGTCGCGTCCTCGCGCGACGCTTCTTTAATCTCGCGAACGTCCGGCCGGGTGTCGCGGCCCGCGAGCATTATCTTCCATCTATGAATTATTCAGGGAATAAATTATTCATGGGTCGAGATCGTAGTGTTACGCCGTTAGTTTCAACGGATACGCGAAAAACAGATGACTTCGATCCGAGCCGGGTCACCGATTTGACGTTAATGAGGACCGATGTGGCAAACTGTGGGGACGAATGTGAGAAGGAGACGATCGAAGGAAAACTCGAATCGTTATTTTACATATGTTCTTTTTTATCCTCTATGGATTTGCGTTTTTCTTTTTCTTTAATTACGTATCTGAAAAATAAGTCGAGGCTATTTCCTCTGTTTTTAAAAATTTCAGTCAGGATCTGCTGACGGTATGCAGGGAACTGAATCTGAAGAATTCGATGGAGAAGTTTAAATTTATATATATTCTTTTTCATCCTCTATGGATTTTTGTTTTTCTTTTTCTTTAATTACGTATCTGAAAAATAGGTCGAGGCTATTTCCCTTGTTTTTAAAAATTTCAGTCAGGATCTGCTGACGGTATGCAGGGAACTGAATCTGGAGAACTCGGTGGAGGAGTTAATGAGAGAATTGGGGGCGGACGAGCACGGTCGCATTTCCTATCAAGAGTTCCTGAGGTGCCGGTTGGCCCTACGACCGGAGATCGAGGCCCTCAGGTCCGGCAAGCACAGAACTAGTCCCCACCACACGCACACGCCCGAATACCTGCCGACGAGCAGCGACAACAGCCTCGGTGAGTATCTTTCCTCGTGCCGAAACCATTTTCCTCTCGATCGCTCCCGGGAGGAGAACGATATGGAACGCCGGCAATTCTCGATCGGCCCTGATTCGCCACTCCGATTCCTATTTAGATTGTAAAGCGCGGTGAATTTCGCAGGCGACACGAAATTGTTCACGTTTGTGTTCAGGCACCATATCCGGGCGGCATGAACGCTGGGAATTCGACAGCGGGGCACGCGATCTCTCACCGGAGCCCCACACTCTGCAGAAACTGGTGGAAGCTGCCGCGGGAGGGACTGGCAACATGCTGGACTTGGCAAACAAGGTGAGCGATTAAAACGCGCGCCCCCCTCCTATTTTAAGCTTTGGCTCATCGAATCGGGGCCTTGCTCCTCGGATGGAAAATTCGTAGGCGCGAAAAAAGGCGATGACGAACAGTGGCGAAATTATTCCGTTTGGCGTTGATGGACGTCGAGAGTACTCTCTTTCTCTCGAGTGAGAAACGCGAAAAAAAAGGGAAAGAAACGATTTCAAAGGAGCCTCCTCCTAAGCCTTTATAAAGGCGTGATGGCGCGGCGCGAAACTGCCGAGTGCGAATTACCCCCCTTCGTAGACTGGCAACCGAGTTCCCCGGCTGGAAAAACGATACTTCTTTCAGTTTCTTTCCTCCTTCCGTCCGTGTATTATTCCTTTTGTTCCTGATCGACCAGTTGATCGCGGCTTTATCTCGACGATTCGAGGCATATCCGATTGACCCATCAATCGTTAATTATACCTTCGATGCGCGCAAAAGATTCTGAAAGATCTTTGTCGATACAATTTTTTACGTTTGTTATTATATATACTTGCAACGATTGATATCTCTGGAAAATGAACATCTAATGCGAATATCTTCTTATCTCTCTCTTTTTTTCTCTCCCTCTCGGGATAAATTCGGCCTAACTCGTATAAAACTCGTTCCATTTTCGTGGGAATCAATAACGCGGGCGGCATGGCGCAGTCGTTCGTCCCGTTCAGATACGAATGTTATTTTAAAACTGCGCGTGCAATTGCGATGCATTTTTATCGTATAATTTCGAGACGATGCGTAATCGAGGAGGAGAGGATTCTCTTACACCTCGAAGGGGGTGAAGATCGCGTGGAAGGGGTGAAGAAAAAGAGGGGAGGGGGAGGAAATAAAAGTCGGTCGAATTCCAAGGCGGTGAGGAATTATCGCGGCCCGTCGCGGCGATCGCAGGAAGGAAACGATGAACGGTGGGGGAGAGGGAAGGCGCGGAGAATGGCACAAGGCATTTACTGCCTATAAATAACCGTTATTACATAGTGCATTACCACACCGAAAAAGCGAGGAGGCAAGAGCAAACGTTTAGCCAGCTGCGCGGAGGTGAGAGCGAGGCATAGCAACCCGGAGTACTTTGAAGAAAGGAATCTCTCTTTCTTTCTCTCTCCGCCAGATGGAGGAACGAAGGTTGGAACGTGGTCGGCCGGCGGCCATGAAACACGAGCGATGACTACCGCTCTCAAACTCTCCCTCGAATCCCTCCAACAATTTCCGATCTTTTTCCAATTCTTTCGCATTTTTATGCCTCCCGCCAAATTTTAATTTCGTTGTTCACACGGAGGAAATTTGAACGCGTCTTTGATTATTTGAACTTACTATCAACAGTTGTTGATTCGCATGCAAGATGATAAGAATTTTTGTATAAAGCATTTCGGTTGATGCATTGTATCGTGAGAAGAAAATATAAAGAAACATTTTTGTAATTGGAAATACAAATTATCCCTGCAAATTAAGTAAATGAATACTAATTGGATGAAAAATCATAGGAGTAAAAGTAGGTGGATTCCAATTATACAGATGGAATTCTGGTGTATTCAAAGTAACGAAGAATTTTAATTATTTTTCACGGTATAAACAATTTAATTAGAGGATAAGCTTCGAAAATTTCCTTCGTAATTGGTTCTAAATTCTCGTAGAATATCATTCCGTTAACTTGGACGGAGTATTGGAATCATTGAATTTCCTCGACAAAAAGTGTTCGAGCGGCCAGTTTCGATTATCTTTCCTTAGCCGGCCCTTATCTTCCGCGACCATTTGCATGATTACGCGAACAAGAGCTTCTTCCAATCATGGAAGTACATTACGCTCCGTTTACAGAGAGATACGAATTTTCGACAACTTTTCGCATACGCGAATGCCAATGATCTCTCCAATGTTATCCAACCCTTCCCCAACGTGGAATTTCCATGGAAATAGAACACTGACCGCAGAGACAGAGGTAGGGACGGTGTCGGATAAACGCAACGTTGCATCGTCAATTCTGTTCCCTATCCACGATGCACATGCGAAAACGCGTAACGACCCGATCGAAACACTGGCGGAAATTAATTCGCGCGGCCGTCCTTCGGGCGATTTTCTATGATCGCACTAATTCGAATTATTCGAATCTAAGGGGACGAGTGTGCACTACAGAGTTTCGCTCCGCTGAATTTCGCGCGAATCGCTTCGATCGGTAAATTTTCTCCCTTCGATCGTGCAATTTTACTTCCTAAAATTAAAAATAGTAAAAATAGTAATTCTCAATTGCGATTCGAAAAGTATTCTTTTTTTTTTAACGTGTCACAATTGAAAGGAAAAGTAGCGCGAGAGAGATGCGTTTTTTTAAAGTTCGCCAAAGTGTTTATTCCAAGTCTGCCGATAACGCATTTCGGGACTGCGATACACGTAAACACGTATCGATTTTGCATAAATCGAGGGCAACGGCGTTGATAGGATTTTCCACCAGGTAATGGAAACCACGGTGAAATATCTTTCGGCGCTAAAAGCGTCAAAAACGTGATTCGACGATCCTGCTATCCAGATCTCGCTCCCCCCGGACGAAGCCCTGTCGTTGGAGACGATATTCCTCCATGGCCTGGTTGCGAGATAGACCTCGGCTACCGCAGAGGTAGCGAAACTTGCGGTAAACTGCGAAATGTACTTTGCCAGTGGCGTGGCGGCGCTAACAAACGACTTGGAAGTCCTCCTGGTTTCCTGGCTAGATTTAACTCCCCGGCCAAATCTCTCCTTACTCCTCTTTTCCTCCTCGTTCCAGGCGTATTCCAGACGCGGCGCGCATCAAAAGTTCAACAGGAGGAATCGATCCTCGCCAACTCCGTGAAATCTCATCCCTGAAGACGCTTTGTCACGGCTGGAAGCGCGTGTCGCGAGCGTTTCTCTGGGTTCGTCCTTCGACCATTCCCTTCGACGTATCGGCAATCCTCTCGACCTATTTCCACCGATCGATCATTCGAGAAGAGACCACCAGACTCTTCCATTCGACGCGATTCTCTCTCTCGCGCGTAAGAAGAAATTTCATTATGGAGATAAAGATAGCGATAACTCGAGGAACTCGAGGAAGCAAGTTTCGCAAGGTTTTTCGTGTTCTCGTTCGGGGCGTGATCGCCGATGCGATCTCGGTATGCGAATTATGCGACCCCGTGTGCGATCCCAGATAAACCAAACACGGCTTATTACCGATACGACAGATTGAATTAAGCGGCGTACGATTATGGTGCGCTTTGTATCCGTTATCGCTGGCCCCCCTCCCCCCATCCTACATGAAACGAGGCAAAGATTTGACCAGGAAACAATAGCGTATCGAACGTGTAATCTTATATCGTACCAAACAGGGTATCGTCCCCAACAGGGGATGATAACTTTCACGAAACGTTACGGGAGGGGGTCATTGATCGATAACTCTTCCCAAGAAGAATCGTCCCCCTCGTTATCGAACTTTCTCCTTCTTTCTTCTTCGTCGTTCATCGACGATCTCTTCTTATCGATACAAGCAAAGGTTGAAAAAACTTTTTGAAAAACTTTGCCAAGTTCCAGAGGAGTCGCTTGACCTCATCGACGACACATCGCTGGAACGGTTTTCAATCAATTTGCAACGTTTAAACGGTCTAAACGGTATCGATCGGAGGCGCAGCACGCAGAAGAACAACGTTTGCTCCCTCGAATGGCCGCCACGGATAGGCCATGGAATCGCCAATAAAAATCTGTCTCTCGTTTCATCGTGCGATGAGATATACGAATGGCTCTCCCTCGTTCGAGCTCGTCCATGTTTTCCCAGGACCTCGTTACTTTCCATCTGCCCGCCTTCGGTTTTTCCTCCTCGGAAATATTTACTTCCGGCCTGCCTCCTCGTCTCGAGAATTTCATCCAATACGCGTCGAAGAGAATTCTTTGGCGGGGAATCGCGACGCAATAAAGCCTGCAAGATATCTTCGAGCCACGCGTGCGACGCTTTTATTATATCGACGCGAAATTAACGAGAATTTTTATTTCTTTATTAACGCCTCGCCTGTTTACCTTCCTCTACACCTACTCGCTTCCACGAGACGATTTTGCATCTCGTAAATTCGCTTTTTCCCAAGGACGCCCGCGTTCCAAACCAATTTCGAATCTTGGCTCATTGATTTACGAGTGAAAGGTATGTGGGAGAATTTAAATCGCGAGATTAAAAGATAATTATTATCTCGAGATTTATTATTCCCACGAAAAGTGAATGTTTTTTTCCTCTTCTCTGTCTTCTCGCGAAAGACCGGTTCGCATTAATCGAGGAAATTGGCAAAGTTAATCAAGAAACCACAGTCTGTGTTCTCCTAATTGCTACTATGCAACCGTTCACCAATCTTTTTTTTCTTCTTCTTCTCTCTCTCCTAATTGTCCCAAAGAGTTTCTCCCCAAATTTGCATATCGTTGCAAAGTTTTCCCGGTCTAGAAATCTGGATCGATGGTCGAACCACATCGTCGATTTTATCCATGCTGGTAAAATAATTTTTCACTTTTGCTCGAACGAGCAAGAACAATATACAATTTGCGAACGGAACGACTAACCCGTTTTACTAGGAACCGTTTAACATAGACGTGGACAAATATTACGAATTGGCAAACAGGTGTGGCACGACGCCATTAAAGGATAAGAGTTCTTCTCGAAAGCAAATACGGACAGGGGGCGGGGGGGGGACAACGTACATGGAGAGAGAGGATAGAGGAGGAAAAAGTGTTTTCAAAAAGTGTGAAACAAGTTCGTGAAGCGTAGTTTCCCAAGATCGAAGGAAGAGGCGAGCTCGGGGATCATTTATCAAGTGGATCTCGACGTCTCTCGCAATTAGAGAGAGGGAAGCGAGATCCTTGCTGCGTTTGGAAGTGGACGTGATCGGCGTTCCTTCGTAATTATGTCAGATACAAGTTCCACGTCGTTTGCCTTTAAACGGCGATCACTCTCGGCTCAACGCTCCTAATGGAATCGTTTCGGCGCAATCGCAATCCCTTATTTC